AGCAGCTGCTGGATCTGAGGGGGGGTGGGTAGGTGGGGGGGAGTGTTGTTTGTCAAACCCGCAGTAGAATACATTAAGGTCGTCTGCTAGTTGATGGTCCTCCACAGCAGGGGGGATGGTTTCCTATAGCCAGTGATGCTTTTCAGGTTTCTTCAAACAGACGAGGTCCTGTCCCCACTTCTGTAAGTTTCCTCTTTGGCATGACAAAGCTGCTTGAGTCTTGCTGTAAACCAGGGCTTGTTGTTGTTGTATGTGCAGAAGGACTTTTTGGACATGCGCACATCCTCACAAAAGCTGATGTAAGGTGTCACAGTGTCAATGAGTTCATCCAGGTCTGTAGCTGCAGTCTCAAATACATTCCACTCTGTGCAGTCAAGGCAGGCCTGTAGCTCTGACTTAGCCTCCTCAGTCCAGCTCTTCACTGTTTTGACCACAGGCTTCACAGCTTTAAGTTTCTGCATGTAAGTTGGAATAAGATGGACCATACAATGATCTGAGAGTCCAAGGGCTGCGTGGGGGACAGAGTGACTGGTGTCTTTTATTGTTGTGTAGCAGTGGTCCAGTGTGATTTTGTCCCTGGGGGATAGGTAATGTGCTGTCTGTATTTGCGCAGTTTGTGGGCGAGATTTGCTCTGTTAAAGTCCCCGAGAACAATGAGTGGAGAGTCGGGAAGGTAGTTCAGCAAGATATTTAACAGTTCTTCTCTGGTAAAAGTAATCTGGTTGGGCCTTCGACTTTAAATAGGCACCCACTAGGATGAAGCTCGAAAATTCATGAGGAGAATAGAAGGATTTGCAATTGATAAAAGGTCTCTAAGTCTGTGTTACATGTCCTCTGTAGCACTGTGACATCTGTGCATCAACCTTCATTTATGTAGAAGCAGATTCCACCTCCTCTCATTTTCCCGGACAGCTCTGTTACGTGATCCGCTCTGTACACCTGGAAGCCCGGTACTTGTATCGCGCTGTCCATGATCGAGTCGCTCAGCCAGGTCTCCGTGAACCACAAAACAGCAGAGCATACAAAGTCAGAGGTAGTCCTATAGACTAGAAGAATTTCATCCATCTTGTTGACCAGGGAGCGGAGATTTGCTAGGTGGATAGACGGGAGTTGAGTCCGGGTCCCTCTCTGGTGTAGCCTCACCAAGGCGCCTGCTCGCTTGCCATGGCGGCAATTTTTACAGGTCCCGTATATGGCAGCTCCGCCTCTGATCAGAATGTCCATACAGCATTCTTCATTCACAAAGATCAGAGAAAGGCAGTTTGGTGCGAGTTGTCCGATATTTAACAGTTCTTCTCTGGTAAAAGTAATCTGGGATGGGTTGCAAAAGACCAAGAAAACAAAGAAAAACAAGAAACACAAGAGAGCACGAGTAACCAAGGCTGCCATAACTATCGGCGCCATCTTACCAGGTCTTAGTAGGTACATTATGAGATGACCTTAATAAAACCAAAGGAGAACTTTAACAGACCCTAAACGCAAAGCCATTTCTACCTACAAGTGACAGCATAGGGCTCTGAAATCACAGAGGGCCATATTTTTTAAAGGGCTTACTTCAACTCTATAGTCAAGCCATGGCATAGAGGCAAGTGTAACTGTCACAAAGGTCCCCTTGAAAACAGTTTGATGCAAGAATGACATTAGTCATGATCCCTGAATTAATGTTATTGCTGGCGATAACATTAAGTTTCACCCTGCTAAGAAACATTAAGAGCACTTGTGTGTTTGGAATGGATGAAGAAAAAGTGAGGAAAAGGAGAAATGGACCTAAAATACAGGTTAGAAATTATCCACACCATTGACTGATTGAGGCTTTTCTCTATACAATAACTGCCCACATGTTGTTACTCTAATTGTAAAAGCTTTTTATGATTTATTTATTTTGTTAGAAGACATGTAATTGATGTCATAATGATATGTGATGTAAAAAAATCTTATAGTTTATTTATTTCACCTAAAGTAGTTGGTCTTCTTGTTTTGGATATTGAGCTAGTCTGCTTTTTTTAATGTGCAAGCCTAGCTGTCTCCTGAAATCTAAATGCCAACAATACGAACTCAGGTAGCATCTATCAAGCTGTGTGGATTGCATCACTGTGATAAAAGGCACATACAGTTTGTTTGAATAAAGATATTCAGAATTGCCCTGTTGCATAGCAAAGTGAGATAATGTGGACCATCTACCCAGGGCTCTGACATGGTTCTTATCTTGATAATTGTATTTCTGGTGTGTTTTAGATGGTACTGAGAAGTATTTTAGTGCAGCTGCACAAGGACCATGGCAGTCCAGTTACTCTCCCTGCCCCGAAAAAGCACAGGAAGATGAAGACTAGGAGGGCTGAGCTGAAAAACTGAAAACAGCAGTGAAGGGGTTAACAGCATAGAGCCACACTTGCACTGACACTGAGGAGTGCTGGGTATTTTAGCAGGACAGCAAGAAGATAACAGTCAGTACACACATGTACACGTTGATACGGCACTATTGATGTACTGTCAGCAGCAGGCAGAGATTGACTTCCTATTGTTACAGTTTTACTAGTTACTACAGAATTATTATACTGTAGTCACTACAAAGTTACTGCTACAGTATTATTAGAAATTACTGCATTTTTAAAGAACAACCACATGTCACTCAATATCCCGAGGAGATAAAAACTGACACCTGTAGTTAGCTGTTAAAAATATCAGTTAGTTACTAAGTTACCTGTTCTGACCTGGAGTTTCCTGTAATTACCTATAAGTAGTTATAGTTACCTGTGATTATCAGTAATCATTTGTAGTGACTTGTGACCGATATGCGTTCTGTTTTTAGTAGATATGTATAATAATCTAATATTTATTTACCTGTAATAACCTGTAGTCACTAATAATAGTGTTTATGATTTACAGCCACCTGTAGCATCCTGTAAATCATAATTACCTGTGTTACCTGTTAAACTGTTAGTAACATGTAATTACATGTAGCAATTTTTAGTGATGAGTAAATACTTGTAGTTTCCTATTGCTTGTGTTCACCTGTATTTTCTGTAATTAAATTTTGGATGTGAGTGGTGTTATTTTCTTAACCTAAATTACTGGAATTTACCTGCAATAACCTGTTATTACTGTATAGTTAATATTTGTGACTGTACTGTGAGGACATTTCTACAGTGTGAGGATATTTAGGACATTTCTTCATGTACACTTGAAAGGACTGTTTGAAGGTCCAGACTTGATTAGACTCAGGCTTAACTTCAGACAACACAAACTGACTTCATGATGGTATACATATTTGTCTGCTGACAACCATGGCAACCAGACCACATGATAACACTTCACTCTGTCGCTTTGGTTTTTTCAATAAAGTTTTTCTGCTAGTTTACTTCCTGCAGCAACTCATGACCAAATAAGGTCACAAACTGAAAATCCCCATTGGAGTGAGACAGAGGTCAGTGCGAGCTGAAAATAGACAACTGTGTCTGAAACACTTCGGTGATGGAGCAGAGGTGTTTCAGCTATGGTCTGGTTGTTCCCAGTTCAGACTGCTGTGTATACATAGATAGATACAGCAGATTGCAGTAAATACAGTAAACTACAGTAGTCATGGTACTTCATGTATGTGGAAGAGGTTTTGGTAACTCTCTGATCAAACTTTTATAACTAATTCAATTCACTCATCATGAAGAGTACTTCTGCTACCACTACTGGTACTGCTGCTTTCTAATTCAATTACTACTTCTTGTACTGGTACTACTATTAACATGCTATTACTACCGATAATGCTCATACTGCTAATTGTTTGAGCTGTAGTTCCTGGGAGACGTGCCCTCGTTTGTATGTGTTCACATGATCTTCCTTGACATATGACTGTTGTCATCCTTGTGTCCCAATCTCAGACGTTAGAAAATTAAATGGACAGAACAATATCAACACAAGGTCCATTTAGTAGCTGTTCTAGAGCTTTTGATCTTATGGTTTTTAATAGCATCTGACTCTGACTTAACACATTCACAGTTAGCCTCTACCTGACCTCTGACCTCTCACACTGACCTGGAAGATGAGGACTTTGAAGTTGTTTCTGTTGATCAGGTGGGCATGGTTTGCCTCCAGCTTCTTTACTTGGGAACCCTGACGCTCCATCTTCTCACACACCTGAGACACAAAGAGGTTAATTGAACAAAACCTGACAGGTGTGATCTAGTCATTGACAGGTGTGAGATATATTTACCTCCTTCATGGTGACAGACAGTTTGCGGCTCTTGTCCAGCAGTTTGCTGACAGTGTTGGATGTGTGACTGTGACTTTTGGACAGTTTGGTCATATCAGCCTGGATCCCTCTGACAACACCCTCCATCTCCATCTGGTGTGTCTGAAACACCACCAATCAATAATCAATCAATGACCAGCCAGAATCTTGATAATCAAACATGCAGTGATGGGAAGTTTTTTTTTTTGTTTGTTTTCTGATATAAAATAAATCCAGGTCAAACATAGATGATAGATTATGGATTATAGATTATAAATGATAGATTTCCTGACACATGGTTGGTTTATACTATATCTGCTGTAACACATCACTCTGAGACTTTTTACTCGTTCATACAGGTTCTTACAGATCCCATGACAATAAAATAAAACCAGCTTTTACTTTGAAGACAAAACCAGGAAGTGATTTTTGTTCACTTACTTTCCAGCCAAAGGCTTTCCTAAAAGGAGTTGACAGTTTTCTATCAACTCATATTCATCTGTAAATGTATTGACTTGGGAATTTTTGATCATTCACAGAAGTCGAAATTAACAGAAAACAGTTTGGTTCTCTTTTCTGACACAAGCACCAACTATAATTTACTAATTAACTAAAGATTTTGAGACAATGACATGTAGAACTTTTAACTGTACCAAAAGACAGTGTTGCATAACTTTTGGATGAAATACATGTTTGTGAGACTGCTCTATTAAAGAAAACTCTGTATCTCTGACATATCTGTAGTAACATTTCTTCTTATTTAGCTAACATATACACTCCACCACTGATGTTCTGTAATATAGGAAATGTGTAGGTCAACAGCTGAAGTTAAATCAGACATTTTTAAAATGGAGTTTGGCCTGCAAAGTGTTTTGGGTTAGTTTCCATTTTTGAAATGGGAAACATTAGGAAAACAAAGTCTGTGCTGGAGTCCAAAACTCAAAGCTGGTCTCCAGGTGTGGACCTGGCCCTGGCTCACCTCCATTTTGTGCTGGTTTTCCTGCACGGTGTCCAGCATGTTGACCAGTTTGTCCAGCAGTGTGAGGACTGTGATGGCGTTGACGGGACCCTGACTCATCTTCTCCAGGTCGAACTCTGCCAGCGGGGACGAGGGTGAGGCCTGGTCCTCCTCCTGCTGGTCCTGTAGGTCCTGGTTCTGGGTGGGGACCGGTAGGTCCTGGTGCTGGGTGGGGACCAGTAGGTCCTGGCTTTGGTGGGGCTCAGTCGTCACCATGTCGATACTGTCAAACCAGAATTAGAAAAGCTTCAAAAACTTTTTCTGCTGCAGAAAAACACTGGAGACTGTACCTTGCTGGCTCGCCCTCTCTCACTCCCTGTGTGTGTGTGTGCTAGCATGCTGTGCTCTGACTGGCTACCTCAGGGAAACTTTTCACACCTTTAACTCCTTCAATGCCACAAACATCAGGCTTTTGTAAAAACTGATAGACTGCACCATTACTGTCTGAACATAAAAAAAACTTTTAATGTGACAGTTTTATTTTGTTTTCTGCAGCAGTCAAAATTAGAAATACAGAAACACAAAGTGGAAACACTAAACTAAAATAACTAAATGCACTGATCACAACAAACATCTTTGTTATGAAACACAAATTTCCAGCAGATTATAGTAAACAAAAATAGTATTGCCTTCAAAAGGTTAGATCCGTTATGCAACCTCATAACCATCCTCCAGCTTCTACCTGTATTTCAATCATTACAATATAATAAACTGCAAAAGTAGATTTGGATCCACCTACAAAAGGTGGTTTATCAGAACCATAACGGAGCCAAATAAACCAATAAAAATACAGAAAACAAAATAAAAAATTTAACTTTACATATAAATACAAGTCAATTTAAATACAAATTATATGAATGTGAATATGATATGAAGTATAATTACATAAAATATAAACAAAATTATTATAAATTCAAATGGAAAATTTAATTCTAGAAAAATATAAATACAGAAAACAAAAAAATAGACTATAATTTAAAATGATAAAATTCAAGTAATTCAAGTAAAACAATGTAAACGAAACAAAGGATCAGCTGGTAGTGAAGGGGTTAATTCTCTCTCTCTCTCTCACAAACTGTATCTACCACACCCAGAGGGGATGGGTCTGTCGCCATGACGACAGGGCAGGCCTGTTTTTGAGGGGAGAGCGAGGCTGTCAGTGAACTTCTCTCTCGCTCATGTTTTTAAGATGAAGTCATCTGGAAGGAAACCTCGCTCACCCTCCCTCTCTCTGTCTGTGTGAATGCCTCTCGCCCTCTCCTTATGGAAAACTAGGTTGCTTTGTATACTCCCCTCAGAACAATACAATGTTTACCACCAGACTTCATTTACAAAGTGAATTTAAAGTTACTCTTCAGTCTTGATATTCACAGTGAAAGAAAGAGTTTCACATGTTTGGGCTAAAACACATTACTGACTGGTTTACTACCTGTTTTGCTGTTTCCTTCATTGTGGAAGGTCTTTTTGTTTACTAGTAAAAAAATGCATAGGAGAATGCACAGTAGAACTTAAAATGTGAAAGATTATTGGAGGAATTTTGTGAGAAATGTGACTGTTTATGGAAACAATCATTATTTTTTGTTGGATCCAGGGCTGTTTGACAGGAGAGTGTGGATCAGTGCAGCCACTGCAGAACCAAAGAAGAACCCTAGAAAAACCATGAGGAAATTTGGAGACAATGTTAGCGTGGCATGTGAAAATCTTAAATAGAGCTTAGCTGAACCTGTCGTCCTTGTTTTGGCCCATTGACACTAGTCTGACTCTGTCAGGCTCTTGAATCAGTCAAACCCTGTTGATGAGAGACACCACACTGATTGGGTTTTCAGTCCATCAAACTAATGCAAAAGAAAAAAACAGTTCAGGAAAGTCCCTTGAACCTGTTGCTGTATTATCCATGATTTCACCCATTTAGTGCAGTTTCTCTCTCCTCCTTGACGTCCTTTCTTCTTTCAGAACCAATAGACCATGACAACACCAGGGCCATTTGCAGCTTTCTATTAGATATATTCTCCATTAGAAGCAACTGAACATAGTAATTATGACATGATCAAAGGGGCAAGTTAGGTGATGTAGTATATAGAGCCACATTAAGAGGAAGCTGGGGCTTGGTACATAAAACAGAGGCTTATCCCCCAGGCAGACGCGTGGCATTCATCTGGAGCCTATCCCAGCTATCACTGTGTGACAGACTATCACAGGACTGACATGTAGACAAACAAACCACATACACCGACACTCAATCCTACGAGCAATTTAGAGTCACCAATCAACATAAACTGTATGTCTTTGGACTGTGTTTTTAAGTGTTATATAATTGTAGGTTATTTAAATAAAAGTTCTTTATAGATACAGTGTGAGACCTATTCTGCAGGAGTTCAGCTCAAAAACCATTGAGGTGGAAACAGGAAGCGACACTCACATCATAGGATTCATACCAACACAATACACTAAGTACTCTAACGTACTGTGTGGAGGTGGGGGTGCATCCTCTAACTCTGGTGGGGAATGCCAGGAATTCACAGTCTGAGAACGTGTGGAGACAACGCCCAACAGTCAGATTCATATACTGTAAAACACTTGAGGAGTCTAAAATGTGCAAAGTCTTCATGTTTCAGCTTTGATTTGACTCAGGTTAAATTTCCCAGTAATGGGCAGTGGTCAGCATTTGTCATCCTGATGAATGTGTTTGGTTTTATTTACATTGATATGAAGTCATGCTTTTAGTCTCGTTTACTGATCATTCCATCTGCTTGTGCAGGCCTTCTGCTTCTGTGTGACATTTACAAGTATAAATTAGGTAATTGTTGTCCCGGTACTTTTTACCATAGTGACTCTAAGAGACGAGACAGTCCAAGTAACTACAAAACAGTGCTGATTTATTCCATGAACACAGGCAAAAATTAACATTGCACACTCAGGTATCTTGCACCTCCAAACTGCACGCAGGCAGATGAAAGATTAGAGACCCTGAACCACATCAGGCCTATACATTATATCCCCTCGGTTGGGCTAGCCCCATTCTACACAGGAACGTCAACCGAGACGTCTCTGTTACCAGCTTTGCAGCTGGCCATAGCAGTAGTCAAAACATGAAGCAAATCAATGTGTGTGTGTCTGTTGATTATGTGGTGTGTAACTAAAAACATTCTAACACGACCTCTAGTGACGTCATGACATTAAACATAAGAAAATATTATGGCTATGACTACAGTTATACACATCATAATAATAATATTAAACACCCTGTCTGCTGACAGTCATCAACTTTTCTCTCTAGTTATCCTTGACCAGATGTACCCTGTAGAAACTCATAAGCATGACTAAGCATTTAACAGTCTAACTAGACATCCTGTCTCCACTAAACATTTCTAATACATACAAGTACCTAATCAATATCTATCTGACTAAAAATACCTAACATAATTAATCAGTAATTATCGTGATAACCTAATAACTGTTTCAGGCAAGGCAGCTTTAATTTTAAAGCCTAGCACATTTCATAGACAGAGCAAAGTGCAGGACAGAAAGTAGTCAATCAAAGACACAAGAAAACTGTTGAGTTTTTAGTTGTGACTTGAAAGTGGCAGAGTCAGGGCACATTTCAGGTCATCAGGAAGTTGGTTCCATTTGTGTGAAGAATCTAAAAGCAGCTTCACCCTGTTGGATTCTGACCTGAGGTTCTACCCGCTGACTGCTTCCTAGGTATCTCACAGCCCTGCTGCGTTTGGATTCTTCAAGGAGATCAGACATGTACTTTGGCCCCAAGAGACCACTGCGTGGTTTAGAAGCTAGCAGAAGCATTTTAAAATCATTTCTGTAGGTGACTGGCAGCCAGTGTAAGAATTTAAGAACAGGAGCGATGTGCTCCTGGTGATTCTGGTTAAACATCTGACAGCAGTGTCTGAATGAGCTAAAGTTGTCTAACAGACTGTTTGGGAAGACCAGACAAAAGATGGTTACAATAGTCCAGCCTGAGCAACATAAGGCGTCTGAGTCTTGCTGCTTGTTTCAGATGATAAAAGGTTGAATTGGTTATGGCCTGGTGAAGTTCAGGTCTGAGTCAATTAACATTTCTAACTTGAGTTTTTGTCTTTATAGCTCTAGTCTTAGTCAGTTTTAAGGCCATAATGTAAACATCCTATGGTTCCAGCTTCTCAAATGTGTGGGTTTGTTTTCTCATTCTCAACATCGCAAGACTGAAAACAACTGAAAAGTTTATGTTTTGGACTGGTGTCTGTGAATAAAAAGACATTTGCAAACAGACGTCTCCTTGAAGAAACTGTAAGGGGCAGTTAAGGCTGATACTGTTTCCATTCTCTATTGTTTGTGTGTACTTTATTTATAAAAAATAATTTTATTTCCATGTTTATTGTATTTTTAAATGTTACTGGCTGTGTTTGACTTCAGCGACAAACAAGAAAAACAACTGCTGCTCATCAAAGCATAGAAAAAGATGATGTTCTGACCTGATGCGATATTGTCATCAGGTAAATCTGAAAAAGAATATCTAATGACTGAAATACATGCAATGTTATTAGGAATACAAAGGATAGGGTTAGAAATACAGTTCTGTTGGGTCCCTGGACATGTAGCTGTTAAAGGAAATGAACAATCAGACAAACTAGCTGGGAAATCTCTAAAACTGGGCGGTTCAGTGGGTAGAGCAGTCGTTGGAGGTTCGAATCGCGGTGCCTGCGGTCCACATGTCTAAGTGTCCCTGGGCAAGACACTGAACCCCCAAGTTGGCCCCGATGGTTAGAGCCATCGAAGGTGAGTTGGCGCCACAGATGGCTGCCTCGGTTCTGTACCGGAAACAAATTCCTTGTGTGTAACATACTTGGCCAAATAAAGGTCATTATCCTGATTATCCTAAAACTACATAATAATGAAATAATAAAAGCAGCATGTGGTAGGGTTGATTAAATCATAAGTGATTAAGGCATGGCAGAGAGAATGGGATTCTTATATTAAAGGGAGACACTACTATAAAATTTAGAAATTAGTTAATGCAAAACAAATCAACTAAATATTCTGTAATCAAAGAGAGAAGATAATATTTTCTCAGTTAGGGATAGGACATGCAGGTGTAAAAACAATATTATATTTGATGGAAAAAATCAATCAAATCTTTGTCACTGGTGCAGCATTCTAGAAGATGCTGAGTACATTATTATGCATTGTTATAAATATAATTCAGAGAGAGATAGACACTAAAGGAGATTGTGTGTGAAGCGATACAGGAGTGGTGGTTAAAATCACTACTGGGTACAGAGAAAGGATTCTAGGTAATTAGAAGGGGATTATTCAAATTTATTGTTGAGACAGGATTAGTAAATAGGATACAGTTTTTTGTGTATTTCTGAAATTCAGATAATTTAGTGCAATACTCCACACTCCGATACAGTAGGTGGCGGTTTGCCCCTTAATCATTGGTTCACACTCCAGCAGGAAACAAAGAGAAGAAGAAGAAGACCAAGCAGAACAAGAAAAGGAGGAAGAAGAAGAAGAACTGCGATCAGCTGACAGAGTAAAGGCTAACGCTAACAGTGAAATTTGATTATTAAACTAAAACACTTTCAACATGGCGTTCATCACAGCCAATTGGAACCCGCTGGGAGAAGCCTTTTACCGGTCAGTTTATATGTGGTTTATGGGTCCGACAGCAGCTAGTGTTAGCAGTACAGCTAACAGTAAACCGTAATGTTTACTGGAAACAGGCTAAAGGTTAGCTGTTAGCTCACTGCAGTTAAAATGTAGCCATAGAGCAGCTTTTTAAAGTTATAGCTGTCTTACAGTTTGAACATTTTATATTATAGTATTTATGACGCGCGCGTGTGTCTCTTGTGTTAATCTTTGTGTGTTTGCAGTAAAACAGAGTTGTATGAGATGTGCTGGACCTTACGAGATGGACTCAGAGACAGTCTGGTGGCTGCAGCTCCATACGGAGGACCAATAGGTAGAAACGCGCATCCATCATTATGGAGTGTAATGACTACCGTGCCCTGTAGGAACCAAATCCACAGTCCATTCACATTTTAGGCGATTTTTGAGTCTGTAATGTGTTCATGCTGGAAACTCAAAGTGACAGTGCTCAGACTGAAAACTAAACGGTACAATGGAGAGGCTAGAAGTGATTAAAATAAATCTGTTGGTTGTAGCGTTTAAAATGAATATTTTCATTTTTTTCTTAGTTTTCTATCAAACCAAATATCTGTAAGTTTTGGACAAAACATGAAGTTTCAAGATGTGCTGGTCATAAATATATTCAGATTTTCAGTATTTTATGACATTTTAACAACCTAAGAGATAATCAGTTTAATCAGAAAACAACTGATGTCCATTAATTGAACTGAAATAATTTTTAGTTTGAGCTTATATCCCAAAAAGCAGACGATGAGTTGAACCTGTCTTTCGTTGTCTGTCTCTCAGCTCTCCTCAGGGAATCTCACAGACGTTCTCCAAGTTCTCGTCCTCAGTTAGAGATTTATTCTGCGTCTGGTGTTGCCATCGCCAGTTTCCCTGTAAGTGTAGCCACACCTGTCGTGTTTCCAAAGGCTGTTCATGCTTTCTATTCTGAGAATTTGGTGGCATTTCACATTCCATTTGCCGCCACTATCAAGAAAGTCCCATGTCCAGTTTGAAGACAGCTTCAGTGGAAATATATAGGGATGTGATTGTTTACATTCAGCATCAATGACATTGGGTCGCTGGTTATTTGATCAAAGCATTGATCCAGAACAATAGATCATTACACCCCCTGTTGCTGTCCTGTCTGTCTCTGTGACCTGTCTGTCTGTGTTCCAGTGGAAGAGTGGTCCTGTGGTGCAGCTGGGTTGGACGGTCAGTGACGAATTGTTGTGTGTTCAAGAAGATGGATCTGTTCTGATCTATGACCTGTTTGGATCCTTCAAGAGACACTTCAGCATGGGTCAGGTGAGTCTGTTAAATAGTGTGTTAACTAGTCTGTTAGCATGTCATCTAACCACTTCAGCATGGGTCAGGTTAGTCTGTTAACTAGTCTGTTGTTTTAAACAGGAAGTGGTCCAGAGTCAGGTCTTGGAGGCCAAGGTGTTCCACTCTCCTTATGGAACAGGCATTGCAATAGTAACAGGCTCATCGCGCTTCACATTGGCAACAAATATTGATGACTTGAAGCTCCGCAGGTTACCTGAAGTCCCAGGTAACATCTGGGTCACTTGCAATGATGTTTTTACTGTTTCTCTCTCTGACCTGTCTCGTCTCTCTGGCATGTCTATCCTAAGGTCTGCAGGGGAAGCCGTCTTGCTGGGTTGTCCTCACTCAGGACCGGCAGACTAAAGTCCTGCTGTCCAATGGACCTGAACTATACATACTGGACAACACATCCTGCACTGCTGTGGTGAGACAGATAGACAGGTTGACAGAAAAACAGGTAGTCAGACACACAGGTAACTAACTTCACCTGATTGTCCTCAGTGTCCTCCAGGTCTCAGTCCTCAGGCCGGGAGTATAGTCCACATGTCAGTGTCTTTCAGCTATAAATATCTGGCTCTCTTCACTGACACAGGACACCTGTGGACAGGCTCCTCAGACCTCCAGGTGAGCAGCTTCTCTGTCCAGTCAGTTTTCACGTGTTTTACCTGAGAAGATGGATTTACAGGTGCTTCTTTGTATCTCCAGGACAAACTGAGTGAAGTTGACACCAAGAAGACAACAACACCCAAACAGATGGTCTGGTATGCCTAACTACCTGTTGACTCATCTGTGTGTTTACCAGTGGACCTTTCTGTCTGGCTGTTTTTCAAATCCTATTAAATAAACAATGCTTCATTTTTACCTGTTTACTTATTTACATTCACCCATCTCTCTACCTGTCCAGGTGTCGCAGACCAAAGAGTCAGCAACCATCTGTGGTGTTGATGTGGGACAGGCTGCTCATGGTAACCGGAGTCTGTAATGACACCATCCAGTATCCTTTAAACCACTGAAGACTGGAACCAATAACACATTAGGTCAGACTTGTTAATATTCTTCAGGGATTTGTTAAGCTCATTAACAGTTCTAGATCTTGTTAAGGTTCTCCTGGGGTTCCTAGATTATCCTCAGGGGGAGTCTGTAAAGAGTCTTTTTCAGGTGATCCCTGTGAACTCTTCTTTTGAGTTGTTCTCTGATCAGGTGTTGTCCCACCTCTATTTGACCTTGACCCCTAACCTCATGTTCCCCATTGAGGATCCATGTGTTTTGGTGGGAGAACTAGATGGAGTTCGGATCATAAGTTCAGTCTATCAAGAGCTGCTTCAGGAAGTTCCTCTTGTCTGTCAGGACATCTTCAAAATCGCATCCATGGCTCCTGGAGCTCTGCTGCTGGAGGCCCACCGGGAATATGAGGTAACCACCTGTCTGTCTGACTACCTGATGTCTGTCTGTCCATCTGCCTGATTTCTGTGTTTGTGTAGAAGTCAAGTCAGAAGGCTGATGAGTACCTGAGGGAGATTAAGGAACAAAGCATGCTGGGAGAAGCAGTCAGACAGTGTGTGGAGGCAGCAAGTCATGAATATGACACCAGCACTCAGAAATCTCTGCTCAGGGTGAGAAACATTGTCATTTGAACTGATCTGGGGTCCATTTCATGATCTGATATGTGTGGCTAATATTATGATAAAATACTGGTGGTACAGGTAGCATTTTCAGGTGTAATGTTGTGTCCCTTCCACTAGGCGGCGTCCTTTGGAAAGTGTTTCCTAACAGACTTCAATCCAGATGTGTTTGTGTCGACCTGCAGAGAACTCAGAGTCCTGAATGCTGTCAGAGAGAGTAGTGTGGGAATGCCGCTCACACACACTCAGTATCCTGCACAGATGACACAGGTGCATTGTGGGAAATTTAGTGCAAACTGCTTTAAGAGCCAACTGGTTTAACTATTTGATACTCTGTCAAGGAGTATCATGGGAGATAGTGTCCTGTGTTTAAAGAGTAGACTCCATTAGGTGATCAAACAGTTTTCAGTAGAATCACAGTAGAAACAGTGCTTACTCTGTTTCCATGGTGACAAACTCCTTGACCCCTGATTTCAGATTCAAACAGATGACTCTACAGGTGTTGATAGACAGGTGAAATCACCCATCCAACTTGTTTGTCTTTGTACCTGGCTGTCCTTCTCTTATCTATCTCTGTGACTGTCTTTCACCTGTCCCTCTCTTTCTCACCTGCCTGTCTCTCAGGTTGGTGTATCGACAGTTTTATCAGTTAGCGATAGAAATCTGCCATTACCTCAAGATTCCTGATTATCAGGGAGTCAGCAGAGTCCTCAAACACTGGGCGTCATGTAAGGTAACCTGATCCTCACTATCCACACCTGTTGACCTGACTGTCCCCCCTTCCTCTGTTATAATGATTTGTGACTTTTTTGTTTCTTTGTTTGTTTTCTCAGTGTGATTTACTTTCAGGTAAATCTGTTAAATGCTGGGGGGTGTTCTTCGTAAGTTGCTAAACAGATCACAGATCAAATGAGCAATCCTGGATTTTCTGTTGCCAGCTAAGCTTATGTGGATATTTCAGTTCTTCAACCCTCATCTGTGTTGTGCATTAGAAAAGCTGGATTCAATCATCAGTGCTCTTGTGGTCAGTAGCTAGACCATACTGCATATATTGACAGCTGAAACATGATCAGTTGGTTTCTGATTGGCTGCACACAGATGTCTAAGGAAACGGAGTGGTCTGTCACTGCAGCAGAGAGAGGTTCTGCTGGGCGACGAGGAATGTAAAGATTTGATTTGCATGTAACTGCAAAAGCAGAACTCTGCGCAATGCAGGGATATTTATGGTAAAATGCCTGACAAATTAAATGCACGAGTATTCCATTTAAATACTTAATGGGCCAAAAGGTTTTGTTGATCTCTCACTACCATTAAACTCATGTCTTATTATAATCGCTCCAATGTCAGTGAGTCGCTTCCTGCTCCAAGATCCTTTAAATCTGTGAAGTTGTCTTGTTTACGCTGAATAAGCCTGAGAACTAATCTGCTCCCAAGTAGGTCTGAGATTACGGTGGACATGTTGCCTTGAAAACAAGTCCAGCAAAACTTTCAAAGAACCAGGATAATGTGAATTTGTAAACAAAATTATCTGGCTAACCTGTGTCAGCGAAGCTGTAAATACAGGTCCCAGAGAGAACCAATCCACTTACGAAGAATGCCCCCTGATTGCTCTGCACCTAAAGTCACCTGTGTGATGTACTTGTGGTTCAGCAGAAGGACCTATCAGACGAGTCCATAGCTCGAGCGGTGTGTGTGAAGGTGGGAGATTCACCTGGTGTTTCTTACTCTCACATCGCAGCTAAAGCTTATGAATGTGGACGCACCGAGCTTGCCATCAAGGTAATGTCTCACTTTTCTGAGCCACACACACACACACACACACACACACACACAGCATGTGTTTATAATGACTGACTGATTATGATCAATGCCTTGTGACACTTGGCTGTTGTCATTGCTTTTACTCATTATTCTGCTCGATGTGACGCTTGTGGTGGTTCTTCTGAACTCTGTGTCAGTTTGCTTCAACATGTTCATGTTTATGGGTTTGTCTTTATTTTCCCTTTGAGTCAGTTGCTCACACATACGTCACGTTGCTACAACCCCAAATCAGAAAAAGTTGGCACAGTATGTAAAATCAAAATTAAATAAAAACTAGTGATGTGTAAATCATGTCTACTGTATTACATTGAAAACAATACAGCAGCACATTATGTGATGTGATACCTCATCAGTTTTATTCTTTGGTGTGGAGCACATGGCATCTATTCCTTCCATAAAAGCCCTGAAATCCTGATTGGTCTGACCACAGTACATGTTTCCACTGTGTGATGGTCCGTCCCAGATGCCTCTGAGCCCAGAGCACTTGACTTCTGGACACTGTTGACATAGGACTTCCTTTTCACACAGTACAGTTTTAGGCACTATTTATGGATGTAACTACATATCGTAGTGCCTGACACAGGTGTGCCAGAGTAATCCTGAACCCATGTGGTTAAAGCACTTGTAGAAGAGTGACGATTCTTGATGCAGTGTCGTCTGAGGGATCAGAGAGCATGGTCATCTAGCTTAGGCTTGTGTCCTTTTACGCACTGAAATCCCTCCAGATTCCTTGAACCGTTTAATTCAGTTCTGCACCATAGAGGGTAACATATCCAAATCGCTTCCTATCTTTCTTTGAGGAACATTGTTTTTAACCATTTCAATAATTTTCCCATGTATATGTTGTCAAACTGGCAGTCCTCTGCCAATCTTTGCTCCTAAAGGGCTCGGCCTTTCCTGGATGTCATTGTTGTACCAGATCATGATGCAGTCACCTGTTTCAAGTGGAACCATTATTTAATTGTTTTACATCATTACTGGCCCTGAAATGAAACTTTTTTGGAATGTGTTGCAGGGCTCAGGATTGAAGTGAGTGTTTATTTTGAACAAAGAATAAAATTGATGAGGTATCACACCAAATAATGTGCTGATGTATTTGTTTTCAGTGTAATACAGGACACAGATGATTTACACATAACTAGTTTCAGTTTTAATTTTGATTTTACATACAGGCCCAGCTTTTTCTGATTGGGGTTGTAGTTTTAATAACTGATGATGTGTTTTCTCTCTGTTGTTAAATATCAAGAGTTGCAGTCATTTTAATATTGTATTTGTTGTAGTTATTACAGTATTGGCTGCCGATGTCACAGTATGCAATGTCTCTGCCAGTTGCTGGATTTTGAAGCTCGGGCCGGAGAGCAGGTTCCTCTGCTGCTGAAGATGAAGAGGAGTCAGCTGGCTCTCAGTAAAGCTGTGGAGAGTGGAGACACTGACCTGGGTGAGTATCTGTTAGTGCCACTCCCTACCTGTCGATCAGGTGGATGACATCATGCTGATGGGATCCAACTGTGTGTCCTGTCTTGGATCAGTGTACACGGTGGTGACTTACCTGAAAAACGAGATGAACAGAGGAGATTTCTTTATGACTTTGAGGAACCAGCCGGTCGCTCTCAGCCTCTACAGACAGGTACGCCTTTATCACCTGATGGATCCGTGATTTATTGTCTTCACCTGTGTCTACAGTTTCTCTGACACAGTGATCGGCCTGTAGGTTATTGATCTGTGCGTTGTCAGTTCTGTAAGCTGCAGGAACAGGACACTCTGAAGGACCTTTATAATCAGGATGACGATCACCACGAGCTTGCCAACTACTACGTTACTGCCAGTTACAGAGAAAAGGTAACAGCAGGTTAATGTGAACATATTTAAAACTTTAAATGTTGTCCTAGATAAACGGCAGATTAATTATGATGGGCTTTAAAATGACAAAAAACAAACCTTATAAAGCTACGGAATCAGCGACTACATCAGACTTTTTATTCATGTCTGTTTACTTGTTTTTTTGAATTTATCATAAAAACAAGACTACTCACCTTTGTTTATAAAATGTTTACCTTAACCTGTCATAAACTTTATTATATTTCAGATGAGATAATTTGATCAATGAGTATCTTGGTTTTCTCTCTGGAAACGACCTGTCCGTGTGGTTCTTCCTGAATAAATCTCAGAAACCTGAGTGTTGAAGCCGGTGTAACATCAGAGCTCAGTTTCTTTAAACTTTGTTCTCCACTCTGATCGAGAATCAATTTGTCTGTTTGAGCATTAGTTTGGTTCTTATCTGATCATGATAAAGTAGTGGGTTCATGACCTGTCTCTCTCTCTCTGCCTGTCTGTCTGTCCAGAGGTTAGATACCCGTCTGTCTCTCCTGCAGAGTGCTGTCGACGAGTACAACAAGGCCAAGAATGAGTTTGCTGCAAAAGTAATAAACACATTTAATCTTTTTTGTATTTCTGATCTGAAAAAGTGCATCCTATTCATGAGGTGTGGTATTAGTTTAAATATCCATTATGTTTTATTTTTTTGTTTAAATATATTCTATACTGTGTAGACTTAAAATTTTAAGTGGACCCTGTTAAGCAGTAGGATATGTCTGTTTTGTTTACATTCGATCAGTACTCACTGTATTCAGTAATAGTTTGGCTAAAAAAATGTTTAAAAACTTTAATCTGCACTGTTGATTCTTCATGATAATTCTGTGGAAAAACTGCAACTGATTAAATATTTTTGTTTTCAGGCCACAGAGGATGAAATGCGCCTCCTTCGATTTCAACGAAAACTGGATGATGAGAAGGGGGCAGGGCTACTGGGACTGTCTTTACAGGTAGAAAAAGCAGGAGCTACTGGGACTGTCATTACAGGCGGAGAAAGGGGCAGGGCAACCTAAACTGTCTGTAGGAAAAGGGGCGGGGCTACTTGGACTGTCTTTACAGGGATATAAGGGGATGGATTGATTACTGTACAGGTGAAAGACCTCAGGGTTGTTTTGAACTTGTGAGCTAAAAGATGCAACTACAAAGAGCTGTGTCCCAAATCAGGGGACGCATCCTTCAAAAGCTGCATTTGCAGACCGATTGCATCACAGCGTTTCAACAAGGCTGTCTTATTTCAAAGGCCCCTTCAAATGCGGCCGAGAAGTGCGTCCTCCTTTCACCGGCCAATGAAGACTCCATCTGGTGGATCCTTCACAGCCTACCCTATCGCAGCATTCTTTGCAGGCCAGGATAGCTGCCAAAGTTGCTAGGCAACAGGAGTAGTAGGGGTAGGGACAGTTGGTAACATAAATAGGAAATCCTCAGTAGAGCAGATCATCTCTTTTCAGTTTGCCTTTTGTGGCCTACCTTTGTAGACCTTATCCTTGGAAAGATGCGGCCCCTGAAGTGGGACACAGCTGTAATGCAGTAGTTAGTTCCTACCTGACTTGTGATGACACCTCATGTTTCCAGGCGACCATGGAGGCTCTGCTGGCTTTAGGACTTCACAAACAGGCAGAACAGCTTTACAGAGATTTCAGAGTACCTGACAAAAGGTGAGACACTCCAGAGGTGATGTCACAGTGAGCTCTGCTGTGATTGGCCGATGTTTTTATTCAATAATTTTGATAATGTAAATTCTCAGGTAACAGGACGATCTATGTTTACCTCAAAAACAGAGGAGTTTGTTTGAGACAGGTGTTTCATTAGTTCCTCTGCCTGCCTGTCTCTCTTTCACCGGTCCGTCTCAGCCATGTGTTGGTTGAATCTAAACTACCTGTTTGTTTCTTAATTGAATCTCTCTCTAACTGTCTCACCTGTACAGGTATTGGTGGTTGAAGCTGAAGTCTCTGGCAGAGAAGGAGGAGTGGGAAGAGTTAGAAAAGTTCTCAAGGAGCAAGAAGTCTCCTATTGGCTACCTGGTAAGAATCTCCACCCCCTTGTCAGCTTTTTTTTTATATAAAATTTGAACCACATTTCGCATAAATCATAGCTTTGTTTCTTCAGGCGTTCATTGAAGTTTGCATGAAGTGCAACAACAAGTATGAAGCCAAGAAGTATGTTTCTAAAGTGACACCTGAGCAGAAGGTCAAAGCTCACCTGGCCATCAGGTAAGCAATGTGTGACATTATCAGACAGGTGAGTCCTGACCACTCAAGTAACACTTCTCCTCCTCTCCTTGTCAGTGACCTGGAGGGGGCAGCAGATGCTGCGATAGAACGTAGGAATGACTCGGAGATGGGGGCAGTACTCTCCAGATGCTCTGCCTCTCACCAACTGCTGATTGAAAGGTTGAACCGAGCCCGAGCTGCTGCTGCCAAAAAGTGATCCTCCATTCACAATGTATATACAGGTCTGCTGCCAAAAAGTGATCCTTCATTCACTTTCCATTTTATTAGTGGTTACAAAAAACCCCCCCGCCCACCCTGTTTCAGCCACTTCCTCTTCTTCCCTATTCCTGAACTTTCTGCCATCCTGTATGGTTTTTACAGCATCTCAGCAACATGAGCTGCATTGCATCCAGCTTGAACCTGATGCAGGACCTGATTTCCTGTCATCCCTCTCTCAGCTGTGTTCACTTTCCTGCTGCTTTACTGTAACGGCTTTGCACCAGTGAGTCAAGAAGAAGACGTCACCTGTTCAGACCATCTAACAACCACTAAGCCTCTTTTATATCTTATGTTTTTTGGTGATTCCATTTTCTTGAGTTCATTGTTAAACAATTTTTTGTTGTCTTTTTTTTTTTTTTCTTTTTGAATAAGTGAAGACTTAGACTTGAGCACTGAGAATTCAGACTTGGAAGTTGGATAGGATGACTCGATTCTTTTTTTCTTTTCTTTTTTTGTAATAGGCTATAATAATTTGGCATAAGTTATTGATATTAAAACCTGTTAATTTGCACCATGCTCTATCAGTGGGACCCACTTCCATCAAGCGTACACTCCACCTTTCTATAAATGAGTATGTATCAAATTGCCGAGCAATATGGAGATGCAATACACAAGAAGTTCTGTTAACATTGTATTTTCCGTACTTGATGGATTTTTTTTTAATTATTATTAATGACGGAAAAATCTGAAGGCTGTCCGTCATTTTGGCAGATTACAACATAGAAGGCAATCTACAGTAACTTAAAGTTAGGTTATAGGCCACTAAAATGCTCAAATGGTTGCTATGGCATTGATAAATGAGGTGAAAAAAGAGGAACTGATGCAGTGGATGAAAGACAACTGAGACTTGCTCAATGCACCTCGCTATCTGGGAGCTGACACTCCATTGAAGAGCCACAGACAGGAGGAAAGCGTCTGTGACCACTACGGATCATGGAGGAGTGCAGCTGTACTCCTGGTGTATATGCAGCAGGTTCCTCCTGGTGAAGTTAGTGTGTCAGCATCAGGAAATCTCACGTTCAGATGAACTTTGAATCACATCCAGAGAGAAATCTTTCCCAGCTTCAGAACTTTGGCTGAAGTGGAGCTAGTAGGTCCAGTCTCCAGTGCGGTAGCAGAGCAGGTTCAGCTTTCAGATCAAAATGTTTAAGGGCCATGAGGAGCCTAGTGACAGTCACAGGCTGCAGCAGGTCAGCTGAGTTCAGTTCAGTTAGCCCAGCCTTGTGAAAATGGGGTGTCCACATTTTAATGGTAATTGTCTAATTTTGTAAACTTGCAATGTTCACATTTGCTTGTTTGCACACACTGGCTGCAGTGTTTTTAGTGGTCTCCACTGTGACTGCCAAAAAAAAGTAATCTGTTTTATGTGGTGTTGATGACATGTGGCTGCACATGTTTCAGTATATTATTTTAAAAAATGTATGAAAAATGCAAATATTATTAAAAGTGAAAATTTAATTGGGGGCAATAATGAATTATGACAATTTTTATAACCCTGCCCGTCAAAACGACGGAAAATGAGAAAGTCCAGTGGGACCTCTGCATTACACTGTTAGAAAGTTTGGAATATAAAATGGTGAGAGCTGCGTTAATTGTGTTGAATGTAGACCTTGATGACTGGCTCGGCTAAAAGGAGCTCCACTCACTCGGATTATTCTTTGGTGACTCCGAGTGACTGGGGCCTCGACTACAACACTATTTGAAAGAAATATTTTCTCTTCTTACAGCTGACACCCAAGCCATTGATACCTCTGTGGCTCCCTTCATTTTGACGCCAGGCAGGAAAGCTGTGAAAAGTTACCCCCTTGTCTATTTGTTTTTATCATTATGGTCATGTGAAGTGCTGCTGCACTTTGTAACATAACATGGTCTTACCATAATTACGTATAAAGCGAAAAAAAGAATAATAACGGAAAAGACAGCGACAAGCATCTAATGCTGGCAAGTATGAAGGATACGCTGGCTACAGCAAAACAAAACACGTAGCCTCCAACATGGCGACTTTCACCGAATGTACTCTGGTGTGACGTCACGACCCCAAATCTAGTTGAATCTGTTCGAGTACATTTGTTTGGAGTCAGCAGGTTGGAAGGGGCGGAGTTACACTAAACTTTTAAAGAGTAACCTTTGTGCATCTGGCTAAAAGTACAACAGCTAATCCTTAATTATCTTCTTTCTGTAATATAGCGTACTGCAGCAGGTAGGTTTATATTCTTTATTTGTACTTGTACACAAGGTAAACAGTAAATATCAATGTACTGCATAGGTCTCGTGTTTAGCTGCACTTACAAAGTACTTGCTTTCTTCAAGATGTTAGTACATGTATTACAAGTCTATTTTTAAGCTAGGGTCCATGGTTATATACACAGAAACAGCGTTTCAAGATCTCAAACTCCATTAAAAACAGGTAATTTAATGCGCTTATTTGTTCGAGTTCCTAAGAGTTGAGATTTTATTAAGTTGAAGTGTTACTGTGTGGATTATTTCTGATCCGGGAGACGGAGAAAAGCCTTCAAATGAATGACAACGTTGCTGGCAGGTTCGCGTGTGTCGCTCTGCTAGACCGCAACGAAAAAGGGACGAAATGTCAAAGGAGTCTGGCGAGAGTGGAAAGTGCTGACTCAACAGTTAATGAGCAAAATCCTGAAATAATACTGCAGTACCATCTGGTACTACATTATGTGCAACTTGCACGAAGAGTACTATCTACTAGTTTTATTACTACAGTATCATTAGTGTGAATCAGGGAGTACTGCATTACAGGTGGCTTGCTGCAGTACAGGTTACAGTAATCATCCTTTGTACATGTAGTATTTTAGTGTTATACTCTCATACAAGATGTACATGTGTTGTATTATGCCATTTGTACCACAGTACAAACTGTACTTGCATAATATTCAGTAACATGAATATCCATATCTTAATGGAATATGTACATGGTATAGTACTGCAACTGGCAATATAAACTGTTGGCCAACAGCTTATTTATCTCAAAACAAGAGGGTTTTATTTTGCCACACTGACTTGAGAACGTGTTGTCTTACAATGGTTCTCTGCTGGTTTGTATCCCAGAATCCTAGCTGTTTCTCTAAGGTCTCTGATTAATTCTCAAGAGCACCCTTTTACCTGTATTATCCAATACCTTAAATGTAATATGTTGTGGTGATGTACACTGTAAACATACTATAGTTCTTCAGAATGATAGTTTAATACACACTGTAGTTGTGTGGTCACATGTAATCCTAGTATTTTATAACTGGTTTATTATTATATGTAATAAAATGATATATACAGTAGTACACACTAGTGTTGTGTGAAGTCTGTCGAGTTTACTAAAACCTGCTTTAACTAAGATTGAGCACAAATTTGGATAAATCAAGTTAAAAAATAGTCTATAAGTGTTGTCTCTTGTGTTTATTTCTTGCTGTCTGTATCCGGTGTTGTTAAAATCTGCACCACACTTCTTCCATGTCCCCGCTGATCCCAGGTTGTAAGAAGCATTTTTCAAACCAGTACTGCTCATTTTAAAAACATACTGTAGAGACCCCCTGTGTAGGTACAACCCAGGATGGGAGCGGACCTGTTAAACCCAAGAGGCCGCATTCTGTAGCACAGAAAGAGTGCAACAAAAAATGAGGCAAAACTAGGGTTAACACTGGTTTAATGTTTAATCTTGGGTACCTCTAGATTACCTCGGCACCCCTCATTACTCCAAATAGTGTGTAATTATTTCAGAATGATAAAACCCAATATCACAAGGGGAGAGGCCTCCTGAAAATGAGAGGATAGTTTGTGAATGCGCACATCTCCTGTTGTTGGTCAGGAACATAAACAAAAACTGATAATTCAGCTACATTTTTGACAGTGACAATACCTCCAATCCTAACTGGCATGTTTGAGCCACAATATGAAAGTGAACAGCAGGATGAACCGCAACAGCATTAATAAAGTTACATTTGCCCTCCATAGATAGGTAAACAATGGTATATGTACCAATGAAAAATGATGTGTAATGCTCGAAACAAAGCAGGTAGTAGAGAAACCCTATATTTTAACTGGCATAATGCAGACATAGTAACTTCTCCAGCCTTACAACAATTCTCTCTAATGTTACAGAAACAAGGCATTAACCGACATGTAACGTGTGTTTTTTAAAATGTACCCGTATGTCACACCGAGTAGTGGAAACTTCAAAGTTTTTAAATCCAACTGGTGGTTGCTGCGTCTTCCCCCACAAATTCCTCATATTACAGGTGATCACATTCCAACAGGTAGTGGCAGACACACTGGCCTCAAGCAGCCAAAACAAACAGGTGCTGTGCTCTAGGGGAATCCAGCATTGATGAGCTGATCAGTCACTGCCACGGGGGCTTCACTGGCGGCTGCTTGTAGGTTAGACCCAGTCAGGTAAAACAGTGAGTCCTTGTACATGAACATTCCTCTGCTGTTTTCACTCTACACCAGTGACTGCATCTCGAAGGTCTCCTCTGTCAAGCTCCTGATGATACAACGGTCATTGAAGTGGTTGTCTAAAATCAGGACCATCATCAAGAAGGCACAGCAGAGGATGTACTTCCTGCGCCAGCTCAGGAAGTTCCACCTGCCCCAGGAGCTGCTGATACAGTTCTACAGAGGAATCATCGAGTCTGTTCTCTGCACCTCCATCGCTGTCTGGTTTGACTCAGCAACCAAACAGGACAGGAACAGACTCCAGCGGACTGCAGAAAGAACCATCGGTGCCAGTCTGCCCTCCATGGAGGACCTGTACACCTCACGGGTCAAAAGGAGGGCAGACAGGATCACTGCAGACCCCTCACACCCGGGACACAATCTGTTTGAACTCCTCCCCTCTGGGTAGCATTACAGGTCACTGTGCACCAAGACAACCAGGCACAGGGACAGTTTCTTCCCCCAGGCTGTCACACTGATGAACACTTAACCCATGACAGTATGACTGGACAATAACCCTCAGTGCAATACCTGTAAATATACCTATACATATAGATCTATAAAATGCATCTAGATTGTGTGTATATACAAGTCTCTAATTATACGTACTTTTTCTTTTTTTCTTTCATAATGCACATTTCTTTTGCTTGTTTATACATTACTTTCTTTACTTTCTGTTCTCTCAGCCTTCTATTGTTTACTTGTCCATTGCTGCCTTACATAAGGACATGTACATACACATTGAGAGCTGCTGTACCAGAGTCAAATTCCTTGTGTGTCCAACACACCTGGCCAATAAAGCTGATTCTGATTCTGATTAATGCAGCTTTAAAATCTGGCTTTCTGTTGTTTCCATCAAATTGGGCACAGGTGACTGAGGTGAATCCTGCTCAGTGATTGGTCCACACAGCCAGGTGGTGATGTCATCAGTTACAGTGGAGTGTGTGGTGAAATCGAGTGCTCTGATTGGTGAAGGGCCAGTGTGGGAAGAGTCAGAGCAGACACTGCTGTTTGTTGACATCGCTGGACGGAAGATCCACCGCTGGAGTCCAGTGACAAATGAGATTCAGTCTGTAGAGACAGGTTGGCCAGTTAGTCTGTGTCTCACCTGTGACTTGTTTGTGTCCACCTGTTTTTCACCTCTGTCTCACCCGTCTGTCCTCAGGTGATATGGTGGGCTTTGTAGTTCCTCGCAGGTCAGGTGGTTATGTTGCAGGTGTGGGTCGCAGCATCGTGGCCATTGATTGGTCCACTCAGATGATGACATCCCTGGTGGAGGTTGACGAGGACAAACCGAACAACCGACTGAATGATGGAAAGGCTGATCCGACTGGGCGGCTGCTAGCAGGTCAGTCTGTTTACCTGTTCCCCTGTCTGTGGTGAGTCTGTTGCCATGGTAAGAGTGTGTCGTGTCTCAGGTACAATGGGGATAGAGCAGCATCCTGCAGAGGTTGAGAAACAACAAGGATCTCTGTTTTCTGTGAGCTCTGACCTTGCTGTGACAAAACAACTGAGCAAGGTAACATCACCTGTCTGTCTCTGTACACCTGTCTGCTAGGTATATATATATATGTATATGTATAATAGGCGGGGCTGGTCTCTCATCTGTCTGTGTCTGTGCACCTGTCTCACTCTTAGGTGGACATATCTAATGGGTTGGACTGGTCTTTGGATCAGAAGACCTTTTTTTACATAGACACTTTGCGTCTGACAGTCGATGCCTTTGATTATGACTCAAACACTGGACATCTTGGTAATTGTGTATTAATATTACAGTACATTTGTGTATTTCTACTGCAGTACACAAGGATTAAAGGAACAGTTCACAATAAATGAGAAGTGTTGTCAAAATGTAGTCACTGACAGAATTACTAAATGCTTGTTTATCATTGCCTAGGTAACCGTCGTGTTGTGTACCATATGGAGGAGGGGGAGGGGCTTCCTGATGGCATGACTGTTGATGCTGATGGTCGACTGTGGGTGGCTTGTTATAACGGAGGACGAGTCATCAATATTGACCCCATTACTGGTTAGTTATACGGGACTGTGAGAACCTGAGATGGGCATTTTACCATGCATTGATTTATTTGTGGCAGGCCACCAAAGTATCAACACTGACCGCCAAAAATTTGTTTAAAATAGGTTAACCTTTATTTCAGTGCAGTGCCGTGCGTAGCGTGTATATTTGCTCAGTCTCTCCGTGCCCTGCTCTGTTTCTCTCACACACACAAACACAAGACAACCATAATGATGGACAGTATGTGAATAGCTCCACCTTTCCATGTTGGTTTCTTAACACAACGCTGTCATTCACCAAAATCCAACACTTCTGATATATTATTAGCAAGCTAGTAAAGCTAGCTAAGTTAATGTTAGCTGTTGCTGAGGTCAGCATGCTGTATGTAGCATGGATGTATATAGACCTAACCCTAACACCTAACCCTGCTCTGCAAGTGGATAAAGTTAATGCTAGTTCATAAACTCTGATGCTGAATGCTTTTGCCACCTCAGTCCAGGGGGAATAATTGAAAAACACACATGACAAAGCTGATCAGTGTGATTAGGGATCTATTAGACTCTTTCTAATATTTATTGGTTTCAGCCAGTGCTGCTAAAGCAGGAGGAGACAGTCGGGAAGAGAGAGATGTAGGAGGAGGACGGCAGCAGCCAACATGCTGCTGCTGTGGGAGAGCTAGTGCAGGAGGGACAGGTCAAATGAACAGCACTATAGCATAACTGTATTTAATAAAAAAAATATGAAAGAGTGACACCCATCACCCTAGCTACTGCCACAATTATTCTCATTTTTACTGCTGTACTTTTTATTTTTATTCTTGTTGTTAT